TTAATTTTAAATTAATTTTTATACTCACCGGCTAACAGTATATAATTAATTGGAAAGGTATTGTTTAATTATATATTATTAAGAAGTTTTATGTTATTATAAAGCTTTTAATTTTTAAATTAATTTTTATACTCACAACCTATTAATTTTATTTATAAACAGTTGATTAGAGACATTTAATTATAGGATGTGCAAGGTTCTTAATTTGTTAATTAATTTATACTCACAACCTAATAATTTGATTTGTTTGCATATTATACAAGATTTATTTATTGATATCCTATATTATTTCAAATTTGTAAAATAAATTTATGCTTACCTTGGACTAAAAATATATATATATATGATTAATTAGAGAAGTATTATAGATTATTATATAACGGATTAGAAGGGTTTGTTAAATTATAGATTATTACAAAATTTTCTATTTATAAATAAATCTTATACTCACTGCCTAATAATTTAATTAATTAAAAGGTTTTTTTTTTAAAATTATAAATTATTAAAAGTTTCAATTTATAATTAAATTTCATACTCACATTCTAATAATTTAAATTATTTATATTTAATTATAGATTATTATAAAGTTTCGATTTAAATAAATTTTATACTTCTGTCTAATAATTAATTTATGTATAATTGATTTGATAAGATTTATTTATTTATATTACGTATTTCAAATTTGTAGACAATTCTATACTTACGAACTAATAATTTAATTGATTATAAATTTTATTATTATAAATTATTATAAATTTCAATTTATTCATTAATTTTACACTTACGAGCTAGCAATTAATTTATGTAATTGATTAAAGAAATCTTATATAACGATAAACAGATTTAAAATTATAAAATCAATATTATATCACCATTATCAGCCAGGGGTGGTAAATGACCAGGTCATTTACTCAAAATTTAAATGACCAAGTCATTTGAGTAAATGACCTGGTCATTTGGGTCATTAGATCATTTAGGTCATTTACGTCATTTACATATGAAGTAATTTTATTGGTCAGATAGCTTATCAAATTCCGTGATTTAACTAATCAATAATTGTAGCTACACACAAAGTCTAGGTTAATCAATATTTACATCTTCAGTTAAGTTGTTCAGGAAGACACGATTAAAATAATGTTTGGCTTTTATATGTAGCAATAATTATTTTACGTATAAAAATTACTTTACCAGCATGTCTAATAATCAAATTTGATTGGCTAAAAGGCGTTAGATTATCAGCTAACAAATGTTAAATGACCTTCTATGGTCATTTGAATTTGAAATGACCCAATGACTGGTCACTAGTCGTTTGGGTCATTTGGGTCATTTCAAGTCATTACCATCCCTGTTATCGGCTAGTGATTACAGTTTTATTTAATTATTGATAATTAGAATCTTCAATTTATAAATTAATTTTATACTTACCGACTAATAATTTAAGTTATATATAATTGATTAAAGAAGTTTTATTTAATTATAAATAATTATAATTTCTATTTATAGATTAATTTTGTACTCACGAGAATTACCTAGTAATTTAATTTATATATAATTGATTAAATGGTTTATTTAATTATATAAAATTAAACTTTAAATAAACTTTACACTTACAGGCTGATAATTTAATTCATATACGGTATATATGATTAGAGAAATTTTATTCACTTACTGATATTCCAATATGAATGATTTTATACTTACATTCTAAAACAATAATTTAATTCATATACAGTATATTTGATTAGAGAATTTTATTCACTTATAGATATTCCAATCTGAAATAATTTTATACTTACCAGCTAAAACAATAATTTAATTCATATACGGTATATTTGATTAGAGAAATATTATTCACTTATAGATATTCCAATCTGAAATGATTTTATACTTACCAGCTAAAACAATAATTTAATTCATATACGGTATATTTGATTAGAGAAATTTTATTCACTCATAGATATTCCAATCTGAAATAATTTTATACTTACTAACTAAAACAATAATTTAGTTCATATATGGTATATTTGATTAGAGAAATTTTATTCACTTATAGATATTCCAACCTGAAATAATTTTGTTCTTACCAGCTAAAACAATAATTTAATTCATATATAGTATATTTGATTAGAGAAATTTTTTCACTTATAGATATTCCAATCTGAAATAATTTTATACTTACCAGCTAAAATCAATAATTTAATTCACATAAGTTTTATTCGATTATAGATTATTAATAATTTAAATCATATATAATTAGAAAATTTTATTTAATATAATATTATTATAGAACTATAATTGAATTACCATTTTGACGTTTCTCCAGATGATTAGCAGGCATGGAAAGGACAGGGTTGATAATAGTTGCAATAAATGCTAAAGTGATAAAAAAGATTAAATAAAATTTTGACAACATTTTGAGGATATATTTTTTTTTCAAGTCAATAGGAAATGTTGAGCAGAAAGCAAAAGAATTAGAGCGAACCAATTAGTATTTATAACTTTGTAGATCATGCAACTAAATATTGATGTGCATTATTATTATGCATTAACGACGAGTTCTCTTAATCCGATATGCTGCTTTCAATCAATTAGTTATACAAATTTCAAGATAATAATATAAGGAATAAATATGAACTCCATAAATACACCGATTTTTAATGCTAACTATGCAGCTATCAGTTTTATTATAATGCATTTAATTTAATGATAAACTTTCTTAATGCGCTTTTTCCTAATTAGTCATACAAGAAAATACAGTCAGACCTCCCTATGGAAATTGGACTCGCCTCAACTAAAAATTTAAATTACAATCTATAAAAGCAGATTTGGGTACCCTATTTGCGGACTCGTGAAATCGTGATAAACTCGAATTATCGAGTCACGAGTTGACGAGTCCAATCACTACTTCCCTAAATGTAACCTCCCCAAATGAAACTTGAGCCTCCTAGATGTAACCCCTTGTGCTACACAAGTAAAATCGTTGAATAACCCACCCCCTGTAAATGCAACATCAGCCTTTGGCCTAAATATAGTTCTGATCTCCGCAAATGTATTTCTCTAACTGTATGATATATAAAGTTTATCCTCAGAGTTACATTTAGGGTGATCTGATTATAACGTAAGGAATAAGAAATTGTTCACTATGTTGCCAAATTATCAGTTTTATTATAATGCATTAACAACGAACACACTTTAATGTGCTTTTGCAAGAAAATCTAGTCAGACCTCCCTAAATGCAACCTTCTTATAAAAACTGGGATCGTCTCAACTCATGATTCACGAATTAAGCTCAGAAGAGTAATTGAATCATGTGAGTGATATGAACCTATTCGAATTATTCAAATCACAAAAATTTAAATTACAATCTATAAAAGCAATTTTGGGTATCAGACTCTAACAATTGCGGACTCGCGAATTTCGAGTCACGACTACCTCCCTAAATGCAACCTCCAAAATGCACTATACAAGTAAATCATTGAATAACCCATGGTGCTCATCCAAAAATGCAACCTTTGACCCAAATTTCATCAATACAATAAATGTATATGGAAGTTTGGGTAGCTTTTGGCTTTCGGGTGAGGTTTCGGGTGAGGTTTCGAGTTTCGGATAAGCTATACTCCGAAACCCGAAACTTTGGATTTAGCAAAAAGGGTTCGGCGCCAATTCTGATTGGGTCTAAATTTTTATTATTTTAATAGAATATGATATAATTATAATTATTGCCCATCTTAATTATAAACTAGATAGTAAGAAAGCAAATTATTAAACTTAATAAAGTTACTACATATTATATTTTATATATACTTCTGCAAAGAATTTTCTATTTCTTATAAAATTCCGTAAATAAAGTATAGAGAAGAAGCGAATCTCTTAATGCCATTTTTGTATTGAAATCACGGAATTTTATTAAAGTTTGGTGCATAATTTCTGCTAAAATATTTTGTTATCGTAGTACGTACGTATGAATGACGTAAATTAAACCAATTTATTAGGTAATTTGTATGAAGATTATTTTTGATGTTATCATGTGCAAGTAATTCTACCATTTTTAGCAATTTTTATAAGCGGAATTGTGTAAGGAAGCCTGAAACCATTGGGTTATGACAAAGTTTTTTGACAAAATTTGATTTCAATACATGTTAACGTATCTCATGAATTAAATAGTAACCTTTAGGTTTAATGTAGTTTGATACAGTTGTAATACCATGATTATTCATTCACGACTTAATTGCTACTAATTTAAACTCGTGTAACTATTCGGATTGTTCACTCCATTGATATACGTAATTATTCGTTTAATATTTCTTACAAGAATAAAAGAGATAATAGATCGTGACATTTCCCAAATAAAAACATTCATTAAATCCTTGAATAACTGTACTAAGAAATCAAAAAAGTATAAAAGTTACATATATTGCTTCATCCTGATGTTTTAACTTTACGACCAAAAAAATACAGGAAAATAAAAGTGAAAAAAAATACAAAGAAAATAGACCTACATAAACCTATATCGATATATTACCATTCCATGCCCAAATGATATATTATTTTGTAGTTTGATTTTTAAGATTCTTTTGTTAATAATTTTATCTATTTTTAAGTTCTGTTGCTGTTCCTTTTTTTCTTTATTTTTTTTCGATTTTGTCTTTTTTTTTTATTTTTTTATTTTTTTTTTATTTTTTTTTTATTTTATTTTAGCCTACGATTTTTTACCAAAATTTTTTTTAAAAAAAACACATCAGAATGACACTAACTGTATATTTTTTATAAGATCTTCAATGTCAAATCTAGGAATCATTGTTTGGATTTTTGATTTAAATGCCCGAAAAACCTATGTTTTTTGTTCGTATAAAAAGATAAACACCATGTACAAATTATGATAGGTGCAGAAATATTGTAGTAACTTAGTTACGATAATATAAAACTTATGCTAAACCGATTTTTAATATAAGGCGCAATTTACAAGTTTACTACCGCCTAGTAATATAATATTTCTGCACCTATAATCGATCACGCTTATTGTTACTCTTACCATCTGAATAGCCTATGTGACAATTTGATTGAGTGATGTTCAGATCGTTTACTTGAAATTGCGGATCAATTAATTCATTAGTGAAATGCCAGCAAAGACAATCTAGCATATTTGATGTAGCAGAAATATCTGTATATAAAGAAGTATCAACTTTGAAATTTGATGGAAACGCAGTTTCAATTTCTTGATCGGACCTTTCATGTACTAATTAATGATAAAAATACAATAATAATTTTAAAAATTATAGCATAAAAAACCCAGGTTGAATATTTACTAAATACATACTAATTGGATAAACATAACTTCCGTTTAATATTGTCGCTTCTTCTATCGCAAGAGCTTGTTCGTCATTACATGTTTCATTATTTGGCCCGGATGTTTGTATATCATATGTTTCGGGTTCCATAACAAGTTGACATGTATATATGTTTTGTTGTGTTAAATTTAGCGAACTAGAAGAAACACTAGGTACTGTATTTGAACAATAAAATTCTGACAAAGATATATCATTGGGCAAAGAGTTTGAGCGTGGTGGCTCATTAAGCCTAGGTTCAGGTTGAGATTTGCTAGGCAATGTTTCGGAACGTTGTAGTTTAAGCATAAACTTTCGTTTCTTACTTTTTAGTTTATACTTAGTACTAATTGTATCTGGTGATTCGTACCTAAATATTTTATCTTGAGGTAAAATATTTAAGGTCTCTCTATTCTGACTAGCTTTAATCATAGTTGAATAGGAAAGTCGCTGGCGTTTGAATCTTTCATTAATAATAAATGATATTGGCGTTTTATTTCTAAATTTATCTTGAGGTTTATTACTTGAATTTGATCGATTTTTAACTATTTTTTTCATGTTTGAAAATAAAATAAAAAGTAAGACGAGAAAGGTAGGGCAAAAGGAAAAGAGAAAGTAAAGGAATCTTTAATTTCTAGTAAAACATTTACTTTATCCCTATTTAATTTTGTCACTTTATTTACTCTTATATACTTTAGTAAACGTTTGATATCGGGGAATAATTATTTTTGCATCATTAAAATTTAACCTAAATAAATATCTATGTACACAAAAATTTCGGGTTTGATAAAGTGTACTGCTAAACAAACTGGTAATTATTGATAAATCTCGTAATTCTATTTCTTTCCATGATTATTTAACTAGCTTATCAAATACTTACGGTTATTATACAAATTACCAAATACTATGAAATATCATCAGTTATTTCAAATGCTTGCATTAAAGTTATCCAAACAAATACCCAAAACACTCATTCGATCTTTTAACATAAATTATTGTGCGATGCTTTGATTTTTATTATGGAAATTTCAATTGGCGATTTTAGATAGATATCGTTATTTCTCTAAACAGAGATACGAAATCCTAAGCGTTATTGTTTAGTAGTACTAAAAGTACGCGTAGTTTTTAAAATAATTGCATATAATGCAAATCATATATAATTATCTTTATTTTCGCGTACCATTTCATAGTAGGCTTTTTTTTCTGTGCTGCGCATAATTACGTATAATTTTAGTATATAGCAAATTTGGACTGTCATCAATAAACTCCATACTGATTTTCGTTTCAACAGAACTCTCTAATTAATACTTTATTATTTCGCGTAAAGCATTAGTACATACTGTATTTGATATTATACTGCGATGTATATAATTCCGTACGCGTAACTTTTTTTTGGGTACAGCAAATAATACCCAGATTCGATTTATTCGATAACGCTTTATAGATAATCTAAACATTCCAATTTGTAATCCCGTTATTCCGTTGTTCCGCAATTCCGTTTATACCTCATACATATTACCTTTTAAGAAATCTTAAGAAATATACATTATTATCTAATTTAAAAAAATATTATTATTATTAATGAATCACGTACTTAATTTGACTTAATTTGCTTTTAATTTATGCATGTAAACACTTTTTGATTGGATGATAATCTCTATAAGCTTTTTTAAGGAATTTCCATAAATGTTCATCATACAATGGATGAATAACTTGTAAGAATACTAAATAAACAAATCCTAATACTATATTCCTTATATTATATAAATATGAAAAAGGCGCCATTTGTTAAACGGTTTATTTCCTCATGCAGAATTTTGTTTAACAGCTGTTTTTTTTACAACCGTTTTCGAAAAAAGCTTTCATCATCACTATCTGATGGAAAATTCGAGGTTTGGGTTATTCCACTCTACATAATTGGATTTTATTTTTGCTAACCTGAATTTCTTAAATAATAAAATATTTATTATGTTATAGTTTAATGAGAAATGAAGGTCCTTTACTATTGGTAAAAAAAGTGGACTTTTTCTATTGCAATTTTGCAGGATCTAAGTCTCGTTCAATATTAATGCTACGTAAAATTTGTAGTACAGTGCCGTATAGACTTTTTAACCCACTAGGATATACGTATAGTGAATATGTCGTGTAATGCTGGTTTTATGTTGTAAAACTAGATCATGCGAATTTTTTACTGGTTTTGGATTACTGTAAACTATATTATCTATGTATTATATAGAAATCAATCGATGGCAAAAACCCCTCACTTTTAAAAGGAAATTTTCATATGTCAATTTTTATGATAGATATACAATGCTCATTTCTAAATTCTGTCAATTTCACTGATCGAAAAATTTTCCAAATTACGTTTCTGATATGATCTTCATAACGTTTATGCAGATGCATCAAAAAAGCAAATTTTGGGTAGAAGTGCATCAAAAACGTAATTTTTGTATCAGAAATTGAGGAAATCCGCTACGCTCCAGATCAATTAATAAACTCGTAATGATCTGCGATAGTTTATTGTTCAAAAAACAAACTGCGAATTGCCTATGCAAAAAATGACATTACCGTATTAGATTAAAATAAATATTAGCATTAAATATGGCATATTTCTATAATGCCGTAAAAATACAAGCCAAAATCTACCGAAATTGGAAAGTAATAGACTATCTACATTATATGGACAACGTTTTATCTAACGAATTCATTTTATCTATCCGGATAATTTTGCCTTAAATAAATAACATGTATCTATCGATTATGCGTAGCCACTTTCAATAAACTTATTCTAGAAGGATAATTTATACTTCCAATTGTCGAATAGTTAATATATAGTTGTTAGACAAAACTTTGAGGTTTCGCGCTGACGAAAGTCGAAACCTAGTTTTGACTTTCGTCAATTAAAATCTCAAATAACGAAATGTCGAAACTGTCGAAAGGTGTAAAGGTGTCGAAACTGACGAAAGGTGTCGAAACTGACGAAAGGTGTCGAAACTGGCGAAGGTGTCGAAACTGGCGAAAGGTGACAAAAGGTAAAGAAACTGATGAAACTACAAAGGTGACAAAACTAATAGAAGATGAAGCAGATAAATGTATTGAAGATAATGTGAATAAAAATAAATTAAGAAAATATAAAGTTATATATTACTAAAATTTTATATTTAATAAACAAGTGTAAGTAAGGCTTTCTACATTTCTTAAATTTTAAAATAACAAAACCTTACACTCAAAAGGACGAGACCGTAGTGCTCCCTCTATAAAAAAAAAACAATTGTTATTTTCATTGAATTAACTTTCATAATTTATTCAGAGATCAGTATCCGAAGTTACATATATGCCAGCAAAAATAAACTAGTTCATTTTTTCTGGACAATGCCAGGGTTGTTATAGACCGGTTGAAACAACCTTGTCAAAAAGCCATAGTACTTACTCATGGAATAACACAAATAATGAATTAAAAACATACTGGCACAAAATAAATTTGTAAGATCACAAAGTAAGTACTAAGTGATTTCTTACTAGAACTGATACATAGTGTACTAGTATAATGTATTATAGAATATTCATTTCTAACTCCCTTTAAACAATTCAAATGCCTACTATACAATAAAATTTTTTGTAATTTTTTATTAGTTTATATTTTTATACACATAATCAATGATTTTTAGCAACATTTATTTGTATATTCGTCTTTGTCACCCTTTACAGTTTTGTCACCTTTTGTCAGTTTGTCATGTCATTTAAAATTTTAATTGACGAAAGATGAAACTAGGTTTCACATTTCATCAGTGTGGAACTTCGAAGTTTCATTTAACAACTATATAAAGAGCTATATAATTTATATTTAGATTAGTTTTAGTAAGCTTAATAAGCAACTTAATAAAAGGGTTTATCAATTAAGAAAATTAGCACAAATAAGAAATTAATAATAAACAGATTATTTTACATATTTTAGTGTTTCGATTAAAAAATAATCATTGTCTATTGGCTAAATTGACTTGAATAAAAGACAAATTATAATTTAATAAGAGGTGCATATATTGTTTATCATAACTATTGTTATACTTGCCAGTTAAATTAATCTAAATAAAACTTAATAAAAAGAGATCCATATTATTTCACCAACAATCACTTCATAGACACCACATTTCATAACAATTATTCATCAACAAGTTCATTTTACTGACAGTATATTTTACTGAAGCTCTTTCACTAACAGGACAGACTTTTGAAATAAGCTTCAGTAAAATAGGCTGTTAGTAAAATGAGCTTGTTAGTGGTAAAATATAGTGTCTATGAGGTGATTGTCAGTGAATTGGTTGGATTTCAATAAAAATTGGCCTATTGGGAAGTTAACAAGAAACATTAATTATAATATGTTATTAACTATCAATTTTCTAAAATTTTATAGAGCAAAAAAAATATTCTTACTGCTTTATATTTTAAATTATACATACAAATTAAAATTTAAAAATTTAACCATTTTAGGGTTTTATATTGAATAAAAAAAAATTTATAAATAAAAAAAATACTAAAATATTTATATAATTTAATTCTTTATATTTATATTATTTATTTAAATATTCAAGAGGTGTTAATGGCTTATTTACCAATTTATAATTTCTATTTTTAAAAACTAAATATGTGAGCCACTTCAAGCTAATAAACAGCTTTAGCATTAAATATAAATAAAAAGAAAGACTCAATAATAAATCATTGTTTTTTGGTTAATTCATAATCCGCATAAGAACCAGTGAAATTAATTAGTAAATTGTGGAAAAATTTACTATTAAATTTTGCCTTTTTTGGAATCTGAAGTTTTCCAAAGAAAACCTTTTTCTTTACTAAGTAAACATCTTTTCAAGCTTTAAGTAAAGTTGTAGAGGAGTTTCTTGCGATCAAAATGGTGGTTAAACTGTTAAAACAACCCAGTGGATCGCAAGATATAAGTACTTTAGTATTCGCTACTATGTTTTCTTCTTTATAAAGAAAGAAGAAAACATATAGTTGTGAAGACTAAAGTACTCATATCTCATGATCTACTGGGCCGATTTTAACATTTTAACTGCCATTTTGATCACAAAAAACTCCTCTACAACTTTACTTAAAACTTGAAAAAGTTTTTCTTTGGGAAACTCCAGATTCCAAAAAGGCAAAATTTATTTTTTTTTATTTTATTTTTTTTTGGTATTAAGGTGAGGCCTTGCTCATATCTTTATTAATTAATTTATATAAGTAATTACATATCAACTAT